CTCGAGCCTGAAAAAATAAAAATAATCACAATATGGCAAACATTGTGGCGTACGTATGTGGCACAGATCATATAATACAAGTTTCACAAGTTAAAATGTTATATTCTTAAGTATTAAATGTCTAATTTTGATCATTCCGAGTTATGATACTTAACTTTGGAAGTTACTTTTAGCACAACTCTGCCAACCCTACCATACATCATTTTTATAAGTATATGAATACAAACAAAGAAATACACAGATGAGATAGACAGAACTTTACTGATGTAGCAGATTTAAAATTTCAATAACTTATACAAAATGATAAATCTGACCAAGGCAATAAGTTACACGAGGTTATTAAGTAAAATAAAAACATAATTTGCTTAATTAAATATTTCTTTCAGTATTGTGTTTGTAATGTTTCCTTTCCACATGGAATTAGAAAAGAAGTAAAATGCTTATATTACACAGGGCATACATAGTAATGTTTAGAAGAAAAAAATACATCTGTATCCTTATGTCTGCTGTAAGGACAACATTGTCTGTATCCACTTCAGTAGTTTCTGTGTCAGAAATAAAGTCAGCAAAGCTTAGGGAATAAGGGCTCGTACGATACTCTGTTCGAGCCGTACATCCAGTAATTACTTTGTTCTTAGGGAATAAGGGACTCTTAAAATAGTCTGTTCCACCAGTACATCAAGTAATTACATTGTTACGCTGACATAATACAAAATAATTTAATGACAGTAAGTAATTGTCAAACAACAGTCTGAAGTCGAAACAGAGAAAGACCACAATCCTTGAATAATTGTTTAAATTGGCTGAATGTGACTGCTCGAGTAGTAGAAAAATATATACTTGTAAAACTTCCAAGAAAAGAAAGATTCATGAGTAGAGATAAGCAGGCATATTGTTATGGAAAATTAGAAATCTGACAAATACAGGACTGTTAAAAATATACAATGGAAATGTTATTTATTATTTATGTTAGTTTCTTTCCCTTGTCAAAGACAAATACTATGTTAACTCAGCTTGTTACCTCGTATACATGTCCAGTTAACTTCTTCCATATCTTTGGAGCTAGCAGGACTAAAATTAGTAGGCAAACTTGGAAGGGCCTAGAGAAGGTCCTCTTCTATATGGCGTAGCCCCAACCCTCTACCAAAGGGGTACCAAGAAAGAATAAACGTGCCCAAAAAGCCACTTAGGGTCTATGAGAGAGTTATCAGGGTCGCTAAACCTGAATCTAGCATCATATTTTGTGTTCCTGTCCCTCGTCAATAGTTTGGGGGTATCATGTTTGAAATTGTGTTAATATATCCACTCTCATGCTCACAGGGCCAAATTTGGCCCACATGCTCAGATAAACACTAATATGTACATGTTCTGATGGGTATTTCTTGGAGTACAGATTCCCTTAGGGCAGCTCTAGAATTAATTGTGGATACTGGAGGAGATTGATCGATACAATGTAGCTTCTGTAAATCATGAGAAAGGGGTGGGGAGCTTAGAATCTCTCTGGAGCTCGGGAATTTTATGCTAATTATTAGAAAGTTCTTAACTGCAATATTGATGGGATACAATTTCCTTCGTAGAACATTATGAATAGCACGTTTGTACTTTGAAACATTTAGCCAGGTCTTTTTTTTTAAAGTTCACAAGAGTAATGATGGATTTTTATAAATACTAAAGGACATAGCCTTCAATTGGCAAAATCCGAATTTGTAATAATTTTAATAAGCGCGATCAGACAGTTTTGATTTGTAAAAACAATGAATACATATAAGAACATTAAAAGAATTCAATACGTACACAGTTTCTTTTAATTTTTAATAATATATAAGAAACTAAAAAGCCAGTTATGATAGATGTTTAACTAGCTGGTGACAAAAGTTTTTGTTTTTCTTTGTGAACTTCTATTACGGAATTTTTGTACAAGTTTTTATACCTGAAATGAACTCAGTGTTTAGTGTACTGATGAAAAATTAACGTTATTAAAGATATAAGACAGAAATATCACACTGACCGCCAAAGAATCTACAAGGTAGAAAATATAAACCTTTTTAATAATTGAAATTCTCTTTGAATAGCCCCCCAGTGGGACAGCGGTATGTCTGCGGACTTACAACACTAGAAACCGGGTTTCGATACCCGGGGTGGGCAGAATACAGATAGACCATTATGGAGCTTTTTGCTTTATTTCAAACAAATCTCTTT